TTGGTTTTGCAGTTTGGCTTCACCAGGGCCGAATACTCTACACTGCCTGCACACTTTTAGATGGCAGAGGAAGCTTGGCATACATGGGTGTAGTCTGCTCTGCACAGCTCCAAACCTGGGACACAGCTACCTTTCCCCATTCAGCAGAAAATCCCCCCTGCACCATTAGCTCCTAGTCCTCCTTCAACAGAGGGATTCCCTGCTCCTCAGTGCACCTGTATGGCCCATTTAGCACAGAGAGCTCTCCATAACCAGATGAAATTGCAACTTCCCAGTGTACTTTAATTTCCCATGCCAATAACAAGAGCATTAGGGTTATAATCCCATTCCCAAAGCAGGCCTTGGATTGAAAACTTGAGTGCTTCTGAAAAGGAATGGAGGAGAGGGGGAATGGTAGGTTCCTGAGAGAACTTTTCACCCTGCAAACCCCCAGTGGGAAGATGAGGTGTCAACAGTCCCGCTGCTATCACTGGTCTTCTGGCCCTTGGAGGGGATGAATACCTAGCTTAACCTTAATACTCCTCAGGATTGAGTTTCCCTCCACCACACAAGTCCACCATACTCTCTAAACCTCCCACCGCTGTGGTTCAACCCAAGGGGAAGTTAATTACAAGCCCCACCAGCTGCACAGGAAGCAATGAGGCCTGTAAGGGCTATGCCCTGATTGGCTGCCGATTATGTCAAAGCCCAATCCTTTGGGGGAAAGGAGAGCATGTAGATGTGGGACCCTGCACTTCAGTCATTTACACCAGTGCAAAGTCCTAGCACATCACAGCAGCAGCATTCTGCACCCTGCTGGTACTGGTGTCAGAGACCACACAGCCCCCTCTTTCTCCAAAGAGTAGATGGTAGGAATCCGGCTGCCTCTGTGTGGCATTCAATTGAGAAAGGGGGATTTTCACACCAAGTCTGGCTGCTTATTTTTTGTCTAAATGGGAGCTGCATGCTTTAGAAAAAAACTCTGCCTGCCAGTCACTATCAAACACCTGAAAATCTGCCTCCCAGTATTTAAATACATTAACAAAAGGAGATCCAAGCAAGGGGAAAGAATTGCATCTTTTGCAAGACAGCTGCCTGGGGGGAGTGGAGGCATATTTAGGCCTGAGAGAAGCCTGCTGTGGACTTTAAATGTCTGGTCTGATAACATTTAACAGCATAAGTAGAACTGTGTATGTGTAAGAAATTGTAAAATAATGTTTGTAAGAACAAGAAAAGATAAGTAACTAAAAAGCTAGAAAAGATCGGTTTGAAATAACACTAAACTTGTACTGCCAGAGGAAGGGAGTTAACGTGGAAATGAGAGCCTAACACAGATGTATAAGAAAAAATAAAAACTTATTTATGTTTGTGTAATAGAGGGAAGTTGAAACTGTATTGTCCACTGCTGAAGGCGACTCTGATGAGATCAACCTGATGATCTTCCCACTTGTAACTGATAACTACCTGCTGAGTGTTTTGCCTTAATAAAGATTTTAGCTCCATCTGCTGAGTAAGTGAATCTTAATCCACTACCACCCAGCCTAGCAATCATGAGAGGGCATTAATACTTGAGCTAAAAACAGCCCTTCTGTTGGCTCAAAACCACCAGACTATGCACAAGAAACCACACACTGCCCTCTCTTGCCTGTAAAGGGTTAGCAATGAGCTTACATCAAGTCTGCTCCTTTGTCAGCCACACAGATTTTCAGTGAGCGTATCTGCTCTGGGTGCAAGCTTCTGCCAAAACAGGAAGAGGCAGAATGGATCACACTTGGGGTTCATCTACTCCAGAATCTTGTCTCCAAGAGCAGCCAACAGCAGATAGTTCAGGGAAAGGAAATCTGCAGTAGGCAGTGATGGGATAACTGCCTCCCTGTAGTTAGAAGTTGGCTTGTGTCCTCATTGCTTCCAAAACACCTGCTTATTTTTAATGTCTTTTCTAACTCTGGTTATTCTCATTAGCTATGTAAGTGTCTGATATCCTGAATCCTGCAGAGCTTATGGCCTCAATGCTGTCAAGTGGGGATGAGTTATATAGGCTAGTTCTACATTATCTGGTGGCTTGCAAGAAGTGAACTGTGGTGGAATTCAGTCCCCCATCACTTAAATCTGCAAATAGAAATTGGACGTATCTTTTTAAAAGCTATGCTTTAGCTCAACCCTAAGCAATTGGGCTTGATGTAGAAATCACTAGGTGTGGTTCTCTGGGTTGTGAAATGCCAGTCAAATTAGATGATCAGAGTGGCCACCTCTAGTATGAACATTCATGAACTGAGCAGGTGCCTGCATGAGCAAAACCAACACAATTGTCACTTTCTTAGCCCAAAGGCTGACTCGTATTTAGAGTACCCTGAATGCAATATTGAGGGGCTCCTCCCGCTCCAGCTATTTGACAGTAACCCACATCTGTAACTCAGAATGTTTCACAGGGAGGAGAAGGGCTATTGTCTACTGAGCAACCTTGTACCTCAAGGTGTGTGTTTTCTGCAAGGGTGGAGTCTTTCTTGAAAGCAAGCAGCATTATTATTAATAAAACTCACTGCAAGAGCAACTAGAGGCTAACCAGCTCAGTCTCACCATGCTAGGGACTGTGCAAACAATTGTGTATTGTAGGAGCAGCTAGGGACGCCAGCATAGTAAGCACTGTATAAACACACAACATAAAGAGAGGCCCTGCAGTAAAGGACCTATAAAGAGACATGGCAAACAGAAGGCAGCATGATGAGCAGCAGTCACAGCATCACACTTGCTTAATGTTGAACTTCTTGTACATTGCATGGCAGAGGAGAGCTTTAAGGAAGGGCTGTGAAAGTTGACATAAGTGTTGAATGTTTACAGAAAATGCACAAAGAGCTTAGGTCCACACATCAACAGTATTTGAGGATCCACACCTTTATTTTTGTTGCCCTAATGTAGCCAGATAGGCAGTGATCACCAGCTGCATAAGAAGGCAGTTTTTGGTATGTGTTAGTTGGAGGATAAGGGGATGATGGCTTTACAGATTTGGATAGGGAGCTTTTCCCCAGAGGAAAAGGGCAGCATAGGCCAATGCACAAAAGTGGTGGTGTGAGAGAGGGAATTTAAAAACACAAGAGAGTGGAGGAGTGTAGAAAATGGCCTCAGATGGGAGCTGTCGAGGCTTGCCCTATTTCTGTTTTCCTACTCATTTCTTCACTAGACTAGATTAGGTAGCTAGATTTGAGGACATCAGGGATCTTGAGACAGGGTGGCGGCAGCAGGAAACCCCACCCCCAGGAAGAGAACCAGCTACAATGGCCCACTCAGCAGGCCACAAGGAAGCAAGATTTAGTAGCAGGATGGCTATGAGGCAGCTTTGGATAAGTTCAAAAAGCTAACAAAGTACAAGGGGAGCAGTGGTTGGGAATCACAATGCCCTGGGGAAAAAAAACCGTCCTCATTCTAAGCCTACACCAGCTCAACTGCTGTGTTTCTTCACTGAGCAGATAAGGCCCTTGTATGTCACCTTCAGACATCAGAAGTTAACAGGCAAGGTACCTGACTGAGAAGGCAACTGCTGTGAGTGTATCTCCATGTACTCATCCGGGAATGCACATCAAAAGCATTTCTTGTATCCACACTATTTGTGCAGGATTTCACTCAGGCATTTACCCAGCTCATGAGCTTTTCCTCTTTTGCAACTAGATCATAAACTGCCACAAGCCACCTCCTCACCCGGCCTTCCTTGCAGACTACAGATTTGATTATAGAGTGGTGCTAGTAAGACAGTCATAGAGTAGACTAAACTAGATGGAAATAGATTTGTTCAGGCACCTCCAACTCTGAACTTGGCTCATGCCCTTCAAGTTTATCAAAAGAGACATACAGCAGCTTCTCTCTTCAGAGGGATTTGACAGAGCTGGGCTGACAGCAGCAGGGTTGCTGCTGCAGAGATCTACTTACCTCATATCTTTTTCAAACTGCAACTTCTTCACAAGAGGAAACTGCTGAGAAGCAGTGAGATCAACCTGTGGCTCTTTCCCCATGCAGCATGGACCCTATACAACCCTGAAGAGGGAATTCCACATCAAAGCAGCATGAATAAGGCTGCAAGTCCCGCAACAGCTGACTGCTGAGAAATTCCTACCTACTGTTGCCTCTCAAAGGGTATAGCTTAGACCTAGACGATGCTCAGAGGTGAACTGGAAGGGACTAGTGCATAATCCAATGGCTGAGGACTCTGGAGACCTGAGTTCAATTGCCAATTCAGCTACAAATTTTTCCTACTGTTATTGAGTCCCTACTCCTGCCCCTTGTCTTGTCTATTTAGACTGTAATCTTTGTGATAGCTATATGTATTTACAGTGTCTACCACAATGAGACCCCCACTGTCCTTTGAAGTTCCAGGCACTACTATAATAGTGGCTTAAGTATTTGGTCTTGAACTGTTTCATTCCATAAAATCACTCCCACAAGCTTAGACCAGTGCACCATGCATGGTTCTGGTTTACACAAGACACAAGTATACTCTCATCTGTTACAAGTGTTTATTTTGCTGGAAAAAGAGAGGCGGTCAAACGATGCTAAACTTCAGAGAGAAGGAGAGTTACAGGTTATATTCCAAAAATAATGTTGGGGCAGAAGAGATGACTCCAGACTGCAGGCTAGAACTAAGGGGAGCAGGCTTCGCAATACTACGTTAAGATTAATATTTCATAGTTAACTAAGACTGGTTATTCACCTTTAAAAACAAATATACTATTAAATAGGCAAGCTACAAACTGAACTGCAAGAGGAAGACAGTAATCCCAAGCACGTCTCCAAAAAAGAGTAAACTAGCACTGCAACTACTCTAGCTCAAAAGCTGGGCTTAAATTGGGTAAAGGGTACTAAGGTCCCAAAGAGCAGCAAAGAATAATGGCTCTAGGGTCATGGGAAAGTAAGAGGCCAAAAAATTATTCAAAGCAATTTCTGAAAAATAGAAAAGGAAGTTAAGTTACTTTTCACTACACTTTGAAGAGAGACAAATGTCCATTAAGAGTAAATGCATTAGCCGTGATCAGTATGCTTTGAAGCCCAGCACAGTTTGACACGTACGATATAGATTTCACGTGCAACAGGAACCCGACGTCCAGCCGCACATATCCTACCTGAAAGATAAAAAGCACAATTCATTCAAAGGCCTAAAGACAGATTTCTGCCCTCAAATACACTCAGGCCACCTTGAGTCTCCTGTACAAAGAAGAGGTGCATTTCCTAGAGAAGAAGTCAACCTATCTGTTCCTGAAAGTCACAAAAATCAACATGAGAAATCCTTAATGGTTATGGCATTAATGAGGTTCCTGTTTCCAAGCTCTGTATTAATTGGGTCCAAAACCAAAGACATAAAATTGGGCTTCATGTTTACTTCTTGGTCTTGGCTGTGGTTTGGTCAAACAAGTTCAGGCTTTTGCTTTTACCGCGAAGAGCTGCTCGTTTATAGAATTCATTGCATTTAGAGAGAAAACCACTTCATGTGTAATTATACTCCATTTATTTCCTCTGTTAGAGGCAACTGTATGGAAACTGACCTCCAAACTCTGAAAAAAACTAAGATTATATTTGTAAGGGAATGGGTCCTTAATGACCAATGACTGAGTTTTGAAAAAAGTTACTCCAGACCATGTGCAGGCAGCCCTCCCACACTGGAATCCATTTCAAGTTCTTTCAGTTAAAAGATTAAGTTTCTAGTTTTTAGACAGCCTTCCTAAACTGACCAGTACAGCATATCTCTTAGTCCGCAGACAGATCTAGTGGTTCTGCTGATGCTCATCATTTTGCCCAGCAGCAAAACAAAATTAACTAAACCGATTCTGTTCATAGCTGCTGTTCAGAACTCCTTAGGCAGAGCTAGGAAGCCAACAACCAAGTCAGTTTCACTTTACAGCTGCTTGGCAAAGCAAACACCACAGCAGGGGCTGGAGCAGCAGAATCTTCATCCTGGCCCTTCCCTACCAACAGCCAGCTGGTGTGGGGAGAAGAGAAAGCTCCTTTTTCCAGTAGTTAGAGGGCAATGGAGCACCAAGCCAACTTGACCTCTAATAGCCAGAGCCTGATACCGAAGACCTAATGTTCACATGGGGCCCAGGATGGACATCCTGATTAAAATCCCTGTGCCTGCCCCCACTACTGGGGTGACAAGAAGAGCACAGAGTGCTTCCATCAGTACATTGACTTGGTCCTTTACAACAGGACCTACTTCTAGGTGGCAGGGAAGATTTTTTCCAAGGACAGAGAGTAGTTCTGCTTCTTAGAATGTGCCTAAACATTCTATAGGAGGCATCTGCTGTGCTGTAGCTATTGGTATGAGTGGGCCAATTAAACAATCACTGTAGTTTAATACAGTTAAGTGTAGCATTCAAGTTATGGCATTAACAAAACCCTGTTCAAATATCTTCTCTGAAATGCAGTAGCATCAAGACCTCCAGCCCATTTAGAAGCTCATCTTCTTGCTGTGGATCTAAGTTTCCAGAACATGGACTAAAAATAGCTCCCCAGGTTGAGGTTGTTCTTGCTCACAATTCAAAGATTGCTTGAATTAAACAAGAAGAGAGAGAATTAAGAAATCAGATAGCTCAGTCTCCAGAAGATTTTGGGTGAAGTCTTCAAAAGCACCAATATGACATAGGAACCCAGGTCAACAGGGGTTAGGCACTTTTGAAAATTTTACCTTTTGGCCTTTAAACAATGGCCAAGAAATTTAGGTTTAAAAACCCCATTTACTTTACACAAGGTTTCTTTTAATAAAGTTTAAAGTGCCCGAGGACCCTACTTACTTGCAGAAACTGCTTCCTGAACACAGACTCTCAGCAGCTGACTTTAGGGATTAAGGGTAAAATGTTCCAAAGTGCCTAAATGATTTAGAAGCCTAAATCCCAACAGACATTGTGTCTTGTATTCAGCTTGGTGTCTTCTTGTACTGAAATTGAAACTTATTACAAGATGCATTGCAACCCTACATGAACCTAACTGCTAATGCGCTTTTGAGAGAGGATGCAGAATGGCCTACTCAGTGGGGGAATCAATAGATAACTCTCCAATGCACAACAACAAAAGCAACCCCTGGAAATGCACTGCCTGGGCCTCTTTTGCTGTAATCAGATAAGTCATTGAAGAACAAAATGTGCTACTACCTGGGCTAAACTCAGCTCAGAGTACAATGCTGTTATTTGAGTCAGAAACTTCTGATCTCTCTCATTACTTTTACATTTGAACCTTGGCTACATGCAAGAGGAGCCCTGGCAGATTCCCAGGTCCTTCCCGCTAGGAGTGGTGCAATGACAAGGCGAGAACCTTTATGCAAGGTGAGCTGAGTGAAGAATCCAACCCTGTAAAGTGAAGTCCCTCCCACGACAACAGACTGGTAGGAGAACTGGACACACCAGCTACATCAGGTGTGTAAGAAGGGGCTCAGATTTAAGCTGAGAATTCTAATCCTCCATCACCTGTCAAATCCTCTGGCCTCTCCTAGGTCACCTACTATCACTGGAGGCCATGCCACAAGCTTCCAATTGTTTAAACTGAGACCAGTTAAAGCAGTTGTGGGTGAATGCTCCTGTTCCTCGGAAGCAGGCATTATGGTAAACAGGATGCTCGTTGGCAGGAACGAACAAGACAGTGACCACTGTCCTCAATGTAAGACATTCTCCTGACTCTCAGGCAACTTGCAAGCTCCAAATATTATTTTGTGAACAGTATTTGTGGTAGTTCAGTCCAGTAAGACAGTGCCCCTGCCCTGACGGCCTTAACTCCCCGCCTCATCTCTGCTCCTGAGGTCCCAAGAGGAGCAGACAAGTGCCAGTAACTTCTTTCATCTTTGACTCATTCAACGCATGTGCCCTTCCCCCTTCCTAAATTAGACTACTATAGCTCCCTCTCTGTGGGGGCTCCCACAAGGCCATTGGGAAGCTTCATCTAGTACAGAAGAGACTGCTCAGAGGAAACTAGACCCACGCTCCACACAATAGTTGTAAGTCATTTCACCTGGAAATTCGTGCTCACTGCAAGTTACAATGCCCTAGATATCTGGGTCCTAAATAGCTCCCCACAACATCACGTCCCAGTACAGGAGTTTGAAGGATCACCACCACCAAGGGGGGGGCAGAGCTCTCAACAACCCTCTCATCATAAATCTGAGCTTATTCTTAGAGTACAGTGACAACTGTAATCATGCTCTGGCCTTTAACTGCAGGAATTTGAATCCCCTTGACAATTAATCCCCTGGCTGTATCCCCATAATTCCATTTCTGGTCTTCTTAATGTAGCTGTACAGTAGCAGCATAGGTAATATAAAACATGCTCTATTTGGGGGAAAATGTTCCAAGCCCTACATGTACACCTGTTTCAGTTATATGCACAATGCACTAGATACTCTGGTGACAGATACCTCAGAAAAACATGCATTATTTCTGGACTTGACTCAGTTTACATTTTTACATCCTGGCTTTGGAAAATGTCTACTTCCAAGTAAAGGGCCTGATGTATGATTGATTTAAAATCCTAACAAGGGTCAAAGCTTTGTCAAATGCCTGACAAGTGAAATTCAGAGTTTAATAGGTGTAAGGCACTTTTTGCTAGCATCCAGTGATACAGGGCCAAATGTGCCCCTGTAGCACCATGTATGTTAGGTACTTGGATCCTAGGAAGAGGATCCCCATGTCCTCAAAGTATCAGGACAAAACCCGATGAACTAGACCGGAAAGTGCTCTCACCTCCGACTCAAAACGCAGAGTACCGCGCCCTGTCCGCATACGACTCCCGCCCGAACCGCTGAACATCGTAGAGGGAGGCCCGAGCGACCGACGAGACTGGAGACAGCTGACAACGTTCATAACCGTACGCCTCTCCGACGGTGGTGGCCGCGGTTGCTGTGCGACGCAGGGGGCTTCTATCCCGGGTGTAATAGGTGGAGGATGCGGCTGCTGCAGCGGCAGTTGCTGCTGCAGCTACTGCTGCTGCTGCTGCTCCCGGGGTTGGCAGCAGCGCTCTATCGTAAGGGTCTAGGGTAGTAGTGAGGCGATTGGCCATGGCTGTGGTGGCGGCCATGGCTGTGGTGGCGGCCATGGCTGTGGTTTGTACTTGGGAGTATTGCGCGTACTGCGAATACTGGGCCATTGTTTGCTCTGCATAGGCGTCGTATGCAGATGCCGTAGCATAGGGCCTCACGCGATATCTTTTGTAGTAGTCGACCATTGCTCCATACCCATCATCGTAATACATGGTCTCCCCATAGCCCGCGGGGTAGGGAGTGCGCACTGCTCCATACTGCTCATTATAGGTTTCGGTAAAGTCAGGCACTTGCCCCGTGCGATCTACTGGACACTCTTTAGACCAGTGCCCTTCTTTCCCGCACCGATAGCAGCCACTCTTGTCTCCCATCCCGGGCGCGGTCCTGAGCCGACTGGTTGACAACTGCACGTGCATCCGCTTGCCTTTAAGAAACAGACGCAAGAATGGTTGCTATAATAAAACTGATGCCACATGGAAAACCACAAGATTTGTAACAAAACAAAGCATATTAAATCTTGATTTAAAATGTATCAAGACAAGCTGATCGATTCACCCCCTCAGTACATCTAACCAGATAGCTACAATTATTGAGCATTCTGCCCATGAGTCAAACCAACAATTTTACCCGTCAGCTTTTACGGGATACTGGCTCCTCACTGTCTACTAAGATTTACCCCCGTGAAGTGATGCAGAGCCCCAAGAACAGACAGAACTCCCAAGAACTCCAGTGATTGTATCTGTCTTGGAATAGTTATTGATGGAACTCCGGAAGGAAACATCCTGACAAATCCCAAGATGACTTTTCAGAAGATATCCATATAATGATTGTCAGAGCAGACCAGAAACAACACAGCATGAACTACCACACTTAGCAAGAGTGTTCAAGTTCAAGAAAGTTACATACATTGGCAGCCCAAGTACAATTCAAAATGGTCTAGACTCTCTGGCTTCTACTTCCAGGCCTGGTGAAGGCTGGGCATTACCAGAGACGTACAATAAGCTCACACCACAGCAATCTTATGGCAAGTGATTTGCAGAGCAGCTAAACAAAAAGGAGCCACGTGCCCACCATCCAGGCCACAGGGGAGACCAGGAGAAGTTAACTGGCAGAAAGGGCATGGGGATGGCTCCTACCAATGTCCAAAGAGATCTTTAACCCCCTTTTTAAAACACAAAGCCCGCAGCACCTGATGGGAAAAAGTAGCAGGATGGATATAGCAGTCATGGGCTCTGTGGACAAAGCATTGTAGAACTATTGCATGTGCTTGTGGTTTTCCATTGCTTATGGTCAGTTTTGTGGAAAAACATTTTCCTCTGACACTGAAGTCAGGAGGAGCTGCTCTGAATGTCAGGCCACTTATTTAGATGCCTTTACAGCAATCTTGATATGCAAGTTTAGACTGTCAAGTTTGAAAGCACTAACCAAACTGTGTAAGGCAATCTTTCCATGCAAGTTAGCTATAAGCCTCTGAATAATTAACAGTTTTGTAATAGCAATTTGCTCTTCCACCTCAAATGAAAAAGCTACACACGAAATTTCTCACACTGCAAGCACTTTGGCTGCATGTTTAGTCTGCAAACCTAACCTAGAACTAACTTGCTGTTCGGTTTTCAGTATCAGTGAGTCCTGCAGAACTCAGTGCTAGATTTTTCTTTGGCAGTTTTCTTTGCCAAGATGTCTCAGCTGATTGCATACCTTAGAACAGCAAGAATGCTGTAGTTGCATGCTAGATGTAGATGATGTACTACAAAGAAAGTGGATTTGCCAGTTAGCCCAAAGCAAAGGAGCATTTCAGACCAGAAACTGTCTACTTGTCACTCGAAGTTTTGACTGTAGGACAAGAGACTGAATATAGACACTACAAAGGAGTTCTTGGTGTGAAACAGCCAATACTTCAAGGAGCATAATGTAGGGATCCTTGTGGTTTTGGTATTAAGGTCAGATTTAAGTATAGCACTTTTGCCAGCTAATCTGAAAAATATTTAATTGTTTGAATTACTGAGTTACTTGCTACTTTCAGTGTATTAAAGCTATTTATTGATCACCATTCTTGTGCTTTGCAATGTACAAAAGCAGAGGTGAGAAGGTCCCTCCAACCGGGTGACACTGAAGGAGCTTCTGCACTTGAAGCTGGAAAAGAAAAAAGCATTGTAACCACAACATGCGACCTCTATCTCCGACATAGCATCCGGCCCTCAGCAGTGTTCAGAGAGTCAAAGCCCAGATTATATTCTACATCAAGAGCCACTATTTCAGTTAGATGTTACAGAACATAAATCACAACAGAATCCAGTGATCCTTTAGCCAGAAGGTCCATAAACAGTCCCAGTTTAACTGCACAAGTTTATGGGTGATCTCTTGCCAACTTGACTTACCTTAAATTACAGAGATATAGCCAGTGTTTATGGTAGCAAAGCAACTTACCACTATGGCACTTACCTGACAGAGAAGGACACTATTGCATTCATCCTCTACGGTGCTTCACATCAAGTGTTTGAGACTGATACTAAACAGGTAGGAAAGTGCTGTAGGCTCAGGGCTGGAAAACTAGTTATACGATACCATAGCAACCTACCGAATAAAGCCAATCCTCTGCAGTGAGAGTTGAGCAGCCCCTTTTATATTCCATTTTATCATAAGGGATGGACTAGATTAATCCAAAGGCACTTTCCATGCTACTCCAATGTTGATCAGATAGACTTGTCATATAGAATCCTTAAAAGAGTGTATATTCTCCACAGCAGTCTGCCAAGACATTGCATGGCCAGAAATACCTCTGCACAGTTCCAGTTAAAAATAGCTATTCTTAGACAGTTGTCAGGAGCTTGAGGCCACTATTTGGGTGTACATTTGACTGAAATGAGCATGACCTCTTGTTCTCAAGCATTTCTTTGAACAAGTCCCATCTGGGCCTTCTGCCTCAAACATCACTTCTGCGAAAGGGACATGGTCTGCCAGGATGCATATCTGTGAAGATGGTCTGGGTGCAACATGGTCAACTTCCCCATGTTATAGATCAAGTGTATCATTTTCAAAAGTGCCCATGTCACTTTTGAAAATAGGTCTTAAGAGGTTAAGTGACTTTTGTTTTTGAAAATGTTACCCCTAATGGTGCTTGTGTTTTCAGAAGCAAGTAATAAAGTCCCTCTCAGAAAAAAAACACAAGTAACTTCATCTTTTATATATTCTAGATTTCACACACACACTATGGTGTAGTGTACCATACTGGCAGCCCTCAAAGCTGATGTAACTGATCTATAAAATAGGTCTGGCACTACCGGTGCCCACACAATGTGCCAGCATCCCCACCCAGCCAACATGTCTCAATCCTGACCTGGAGGGCCACTTTGAAGAGAGGGGGGGTTCATCCTCCATGGCCAGTTCAATCTTTGGACTTTCAGGGTTTATGAAAGGTGATACCTGTTCAATGGGAACTGGGCTGGGACCCACCAGCTCATTTAATGGGAATTATGGAAGTGCTATGAGTAGGCTTGGAGGAATTTGATTTTTAATCAGAAAACCTCTATTTCTGTACATACACTAACCAGTGGAAAAAATATTTCCATCGATAATTAAAATTTATAGATAGGCAACATAAGAAAAATTCAAGTTCGATATAATGCGTTTTCACCTATAATGCAGTAAGATTTTTTGGCTCCTGAGAACAGCGTTATATCGGGGTAGAGGTGTAACTATTGTCTGACCCTCCCTCCCCTAATTTCACACAACTGTGAACATTTAAAGCATTTTTTTAGATTTTTGTTAATTTAAAATAATACTATCCACCAAAATATTATAAAAATAAAATTCTGCCAAGCCTAGTTTTGGGGTGTTAACAGCTTTTGGTCACTGAGCCTGGGACAGAAGAATTAGTGGCAAGGTGCAAAACACCCTTTGTTTCATAGTCTGAAGAATATAATCAGTGAGAGAGTTCTATTTCTGCTTGTCACTAGAAAATGGAAACCAAATGTCTTAGCCTACATACGGTGTAGAGAAGTTTATTAGTAGAAACACGAAACAAGCACTCATGCATTAATAGCAGCCCTGCTACAAGCTTCAAATGGCTAATCTCCCTAAGATCCCATTAATTTCTATGCAGGCCATTTGGGTATATGCAATGCAGCGTTTTAGACCCAAGACAGTCAGGCCTCCAGGCACACACCCTTTCTTTTACAGAGCTGCCTAAAGATACACCTGGCTGCTGCTTCTGCTTCTAAGAGAAGACAAATATTCTGTTCTAAACAGAAGAGCAGCTGTTTCTTTACTAGAGATTATGTCTACAAACCCTTAACAGGTTAACTTTTGGGATGAGGTGTTGAGAGATGCAGCATCACTTTCAATGGTTGTACCAGACATGCCCGTTAGCTGAGGTAGAGCTTCACAGCCTAACTCCCAAGACTAGATAGGGCGTACCCATTGTAGGACCCAAAGATCTGTGCACAGGTGTAACACGACAGTCTACAAATCCACTTGCTTTCCACATTGCACTAACAGATGGCTTTGTACTGCTGGAGCAGAGACAGCTCTTGCAACCAAAACATTGGGAATGACAAAAATTGCACATCTGTTTTGTTGCCACTGCTCAGTGTTGATAAATGGAAAGTATTCCCTGCTATGTGCATTAATCTGAACGCTTACTGAGTTCCTAAATTAGCTGGATCAACTCTGTAAGAGATCTGGGCACCACTCTGGGCAAGTCAATGGAAACCAGTGTGCAGTAGCAAAGTGCTAAGGTACGTAAGAGATGGGATGGAGAATCCTGAAGATATAATGCCATTCTATAAATCATTGGGACACCTCCACCTAGAGTACTGTGTTCTATTTTGGTCACCCCAGCTCCATACAGTATGTATCAGAAACAGATGAGGGCAAAAGACAGGTGATGAGAATTATGAGCCTGAAAAAACTCTCATATCAAGAGATTAAATGAATGGGACCGTTTATCTTAGAGACAAATGAGAGAATGTGATAGGAATACACAAAACAACAAATGGGATAGAGGCAGTAGACTGGACGCTATTTACCCTCTCATCATACAAAAACATGGGGATATTCCACAACACTGATAGGAGCAACTTTAAAACAGGTCAAAGGAAACACTATTTCCACACTGAGCACAATTCACATGTGGAACTCACTACCTCAAGGTATCACCAAGATCAAAAACTAAGCAGGATTCAAAGAGTATTGACCATTTTACAGGGATAAGGATAGCCAGAACAAGAACAGTAAGTGTTATAAAAAGATGTAAGTTTTGGAAGAGATTTAAATTCTTCTGCTTCAGGGCAAGAGCTAACCTCTGCTGGGGTCTAGTTATCCTATCAACGTTATTACAGGGTCCCCTGAAGCTTCTGCTAAAACAGTTGGTATTGGCTGCTGTCAGAGACAGGATACCAAACTAGAAAGACCACATCTCTGATCCATTCTGGTAATTCCCATGCTCCACAGCTCAAGAGTTCCAACAGAACAAGTCAATATCAATTCATCCCCTACCATGAACTCCCATTTTTTAGTTGATTAAGTCAATTTGTCTCAGGCTAAATTTGTAGGTAGAGTCTTCAAGATATCTTTCAGCCTCTTTACAATGCTTAAGGCAGCTAGGGAGGTTTTACGTAGGCTTGGTAAGTCAGTCAGTCAGCTGACTGGTCAAAGAAGGTCAATTGATCCCCTATTCAGTCAAATACTGTCAAATACTCCAGCAAGATTGCCATGGCCTACTATTTTGATTGCATTATGGTGCCATTCTTTCATTTTTAGACCTTCTACTCCTGAGGGAATTCTGCACCAAAAAATTAAAAATTACACGCACAATATTTTAAAATTCTGCAACAATTTTTTGTCAATAAATAAATGTAGCTCCAGCATGGCAGTGGGGAGCACAGGCCACTCACTGGCTGCACTGAGGTGGGAGATCACCCTGAAGCCCCCACCTCCCGCGGTACAGGGACTCGGCAGTAAGGCTGCACCTGACCTGATACAGTGCAAGGGCTGGGCCTGCCCCAGAAACACCCTGGGGCTCTGCCCCTCTGTGCCAGGTGCACCAGATGTGGGTAGGCAGGCTCAGCCCAGCAGGATCTAAGTGTGGAGGGGCTTAGTGTGGGGGGGAACCAGGTGTGGGACAATCTGGGTGCGGTGGCTCAGTGGGAGATCTGGATGCACAGGGGTTCGTTGGGGGGTTCCAGGTGCAGGGGCAATGGGACTCTGCAGTTGATCCAGGTGCAGGTGACTGGGGTTCAGCGGGATGGAGACCTGGGGGGCTCATCAGAGGGGTCCAGGTGTAGGGGGGTAGGGCTTGTCAGGGTGAGGATTCGATGGGCCTTCTTAATGGGGGAGCCCCAGCTGCGGCCAAGGGGATGCTGCATGCTGGTCTCCTGCTCCCCCTGCGATTCCCCTCCCCCACTCCCACATTCCCCTCCCCTATTCCACTCCCCTTCCTTCCCCACTGCCTCTTCCCCCACCCTCCCCTCATTTCCCACCCCATCGTGGGCACTCACTGTTGCACAGAAAACAGGAAGGCTCCTAGCACACAGAAGGGGAGCACGACTGGCACTAGGACCCAGGAGGCGGTGTTCAGCTGCAGAGTCAGGGGAGCCAGCCTCCTTCAGATGGGTAGCTCTGTGCATGCAGAAATGAGGGGGGGGCACCGGCTTGTAACCCCATGTGCCCCCCCACACTGCATCTGTTTCAAGGGGAGCAATCCCCCCCAAAAACCTGCACCCATGGTTGTGCCCTCCCCCCCCCCAAGCGCTTCCCTGTTTTCTGCAGGGAAACACAGGAATTCTGTGGGGGGGGGGTTACAGGGGGACACATTTTCTGGGGGTGCCCAGTCACGCAGAATCCCCCCAGGAGTAACCTTCATTTCACTTTTTTTCACATTCTTCTGAGTTAAAGTAACTCAGTTAAGTAACTTGTTTTTTTGTAATTAGGCTAACTGTCTAAGGCTAAACCTATTGGAGACTTAACAACTTACTCTTGTTTGTTCCTGTTCTAATAAATTGTTGGTTTAAAAAAAAATTTTTTTTATGGACCAGTCTAATGTCTAACACTGGTCTTAACCTTATAAAGGTCAGGAATGCAAGTCTGATCTTCTTTGGTTTTGCAGGACTACTGGGAGATCTCAAAGCTCTAACAATTTAAAGGAGAAATTAATAAAGGCTTCCTTATTCAAAAGGTTGACTGTTAACTCCTAATGAACTTCAGTTATCAGAGAAAGACAGTTATTGTCTAACTAAAAATCCCTTCTCCTTTTGATACCTCAGCTTTCACGCTTCACTTTTGTGAGGTCATCACTGTCTCATGATTAGAGAACTAGACTCACACCATAAACAAAACCCAAATTTCTGGTGTAGAAAAAAAACCCCAGAGTTTTAATTTAATAAATCTGTTCAGACCAACTTTATGCATCATAAAAAAAGCAGACAAGCCCATTTCCACCCTCCACTCCTCCTTGGAAGGAAAGATCTCTTGTTTAACACCTTTTTATAATTGCACAAAGCTTTCAATACTCCTAAAGATGAGGGACCAACATGTCTGATCTCGTGCAAGCTCCTGACACATTTCTGCCATGCCCCACAATCTCAACCCTGCTATTCAAGTCCTGGGCTTCCGCAAACACACAGTTCTGCCCATGAAACTCAATCATGCCCCACAGTGCCCCCTGCTATTCCAGACCTGGTCTCCCCACAGCTACGTCAACACCCTTCAATCTCCTGTAACACTTTTTCAACTATAACTGCAGCCACAGGACTATTAAATGTATGACAAACAGTTCTCCAGAGGAGCAGCACTGAATACCTAGTTCATTAACCAGACATGTACTTAACTGAAAGTATTTCTCAAATCCAATGAAAGCACTTTTCTAACTTGAACAAAAACCATGGTTTATCCAATTCCTAAACAACTCCCCAAGAACTCTGCACTTCTTGTTGTGTTAAGCATCTACACTGAAAAACTCATCCAGACAACATGATCAGTCTGAACGCCACCCAGGTACTCTATTATTCATTCAGCACAATTAGGACCCCATGACCAACAGATTTCCACCTGACCTGATCTTCTGGACAGAACCTGGCGCTACCTAGTCCTAGCGAAGGCTGCACTTTCCCTGGTTCATGTTTCACCTTGGAACTCTGTGTTGTCTAGGCCCCTGATGGCCTCCACCGCATCCTCAGCCCGCTCCATGTGCACAAAGGCATAGTCCTTCACTATGTCACACTCGATCACTGGGCCATACTCTTCAAACTTGGCCCGCAGCTCCAGGTTAGTGCAGGTAGTGCTGATGTTGCCCACATGCAGCTTGGTGGACGCCTTGCTCTTGTTCTTGCTGGCTTCCACATTGATGCAGACACCATGCAGCTTGTGGTGATGCAGGTTACGGATGGCATCTTCGGCCGCTGTCTTGTCTTCGATGTGCACAAAGCCATAGTTTTTGATGATGTCACATTCCAGCACCTTCCCGTACTGCTCAAAGAGCGACCGGATCTCTTGCTCCGTTGCCTCCCGGGGCAGATTCCCAATGAAGAGTTTCACCATCTTGGCAGAGCCTGGCGGAAGAGGAAAGGGGTTTAAGGAGAAGCACTCATCCAAGTGCAATGCTCTTTTACATCTCTGTACTTATATGACCCTCTTCACCACAGTACTGCCCCCATTTTATAGATGCAGGAGCTGAGGCACAGGGTAGATTAAATGACTTGCCCAGGGTCACGCAGGGAGTATAGCTGATCTGGGAATTGAACCCAGGTCTCCGGAGTTCCAATCCAGTATCCCATCCACTAGACCAGGGGTAGGCAACCTATGGCACGTGTGACAAAGGCAGCACGCGAGCTGATTTTCAGTGGCACTCACACTGCCCGGGTCCTGGCCACCGGTCCGGGGGGCTCTGCATTTTAATTTAATTCTAAATGAAGTTTCTTAAACATTTTTAAAACCTTATTTACTTTACATACAACAATAGTTTAGTTATATATTACAGACTTATAGAAAGAGACCTTCAAAAAACGTTAAAATGTATTACTGGCACGCAAAACCTTAAACTAGAGTGAATAAATGAAGACTCAGCACACCATTTCTGAAAGGTTGCCGACCCCTGCACTAGACTATCCTTCCTATATAAGCTTTACTAATACTCTTTAGTGATAGGGTCCTATCCACGTAGTCTATTTACATGAAAGCTAAGTACAATCAGGAGAGATGACCCATGTCCCATTAAAATTGTTCTTGACAATAAAGTAGGGAATTTGGTACCAGTGGCTTCGAATGGGGTTCTAGGCACTTTGCTGTTGGAGATGCACCTTTTGTACGGAAGAACTAAGGCCTGGACCAGCATTATTCATTAAGATCCTATGGTACATTTTGTATAAACAAAGATGGTAACTGCAGTCTCCGGGTCAAATCCTAACTCAGATAATTGCACTCTGCTTCCTAAATCCTCTCCTTGCACATTCAATAAACTTTTGTTGTTTGCTAAAGGGCTGAGCATAGTTTGGACATAATGCCTCTATTTCAAGGACCTTACAATTTTATCCACACTGGACAGGAGTGAAAGTATGGTATGGACTTCCTGCACTGCTCTGGTGATTTAGCTGCTGGGGAGAAGGTGCAATATTCTGATTTTGGAGGTGCTCAAAGGGGACAGATGAGTTAAGAGGAGTGTGCACGTTCAAACACCCTTGTCTCAGAGCTGCAGTATCTTACATGCACTTTAAATACAACACCTGCTCTGCCATCAACACTTTAATCCACTTCCTTCCTTCCTTATCCCCAGACCCTGAGCTACCTGATCATCTGCATCCATGCCACCTCCACCCCATCCCACACCCCCCTCTTGCCCTGTATCCTCTATACATAAAGCCAGGGCCCTCAGCACCTCTCCTGCCCTGACCCCCCATGTACAGCACAGTCCAAAGCCTTCATTGCTATCCCATATATTCCTGTTTCCCATATACACACTATCAATGGCCCTCATTTTCCTCAGCTGCCCTCCACCTCTGTAACCTCCCTTGCACAGGCAGCTCAAAGGCCTCACGGCATCCATTCCCCATCCCCAGTTCCTCCCCCATACACATCCAAGGCCCCCACTGGGACCTCTCCCGCCCCATACCCCCCCTACACAGCCCACCTCAGTATCCCCCACCGCCCAGCCGCTCATACTGAGCCCTACCCTAGAGCCCCACGTCCAAATAGTGCCCCTTGCTCTATAACCCTCCGCCTCCAATCTGGGCCCTCACGGAGGCCCCTGCCCACTGGTCCCCATCCCCCCACGCACAAAGCAGCATCCCGCCCCACCCCACCCCCAACCCACCGACACGGCCTGGGCCCCCGCCCTCCCCACACCCCCCTTCCCTCGTGTGCCCACATAGCAGTGCCCCAGCACGGCAACACGCCGGCCTCAAACGACCAAGACCAACCTCGCCAGCGACCGCGCCTCCTCTCCCCGCGAACCACACAAAATGTCGGCTACAGCAGCGCGAGGCCCAGTCCCACCCACTTACCCACCCCGCCGCTTTCTCATTGGCCACCCGAGTGCACAGCGCACCTACTGGGCAGCAATGCGTGTCAATCAAGTGGAGAGCCAAGCAGAGCCCAAGAATCTGGAATAGGGCTCCCGGGTAGGGGGAGGAGATTCACCAATCGCGATCCAGTGTTCCCAGGGTGAACCCGGCCCCCACTTCGCCACAGCCAATCACACCGCCGGAGAGGTGGATTGCACCATTGTTTTTAGAGACGGGGGGATACATTATAACATTGTTCCATTGTGCCTCTGCGTGGAAGGGGCGGAATGTGGCGCTGTTCTGCATTGGGGCGCGGGGTGGGGGTAGCTGTTAGGATGAAAAGTCCTATTTGTGGATCTGCATGGTGGGGAGCGATGATAATAAATGGTCCATTGCGGCTCTCCTGGGGGAGCAGTGATAATGGATTGTTCCATTGTGCTTCTCCACGAGGGAGCAGTGATCGTGGATTGTTCCATTGTGCCAGTCCGAGAGGGGGTATTGATTATTCCAATGCCGCTCTTTATAGGCGGAGCAGTGATAATTAATTGTTCCATTGTGCCTCGCCATGGGGGGAAGAGAATAGATGGTTGTTCCATTGGGGCTTGGATGGGGGGGGTGCAGAAGTGCATTGGTCTGGGACCAAAAGACGGGTTCAAACTAGCCGCTTCCCCTCCCCTGTCCTGTTCTACAGTTCCAGTGCTGGGGGTGGGGGGAGGCGCAGCACACACAGGGCTCTCCCACCCCTCCTCCCTCCCTTCCCGTGGGTCGCCCCCAGCTGCAGGGAGGTGTCAAGGTGGGGAGGGGTCGATTCTTATTGGCAAAGGTGGATTTGCCCCCCTCCCCCCAAATTCCATCCTAATACTGGAATCCCCCCCCGCCCCCGCACAGTAGGAAAGATGCTGGGGGAGCAGATGGAAGGACAGTTACTGCCGCACTTCCACATGCCCGGCTGACAAGGAGTGAAGATTCATAAAGCTTTTTGACAGGTTTCAGAGTAGCAGCCATGTTAGTCTGTATCCGCAAAAAGAACAGGAGTACTTGTGGCACCTTAGAGACTAACAAATTTATTTGAGCATAAGCTTTCGTGGGCTACAGCCCATTAGCTTATGCTCAAATAAATGTGTTAGTCTCTAAGGTGCCACAAGTACTCCTGTTCATAAAGCTTTTTGAATCTCAGTCTCTGTTGCTACTACATAATTGACCGACCCCCATGTCTGACCCTCCATCATCTCCCGCAACTGTGAATATTTAAATGGATAAAAACAGAAAAAAATGCTTAAAATAAACATCGATATTATCCCCAAAAATTATTTAAAAAACCAACAACCCCCTGCCAAACCTACTTGTAAATGGCCAGTGGTGGCCACATATGACCCGGTGGTTGGAAGCTGGGCACGCTCCAGCTAGCAACAGGCCACTATGCCATTATTGTCTTCAGTTATTTGTGTTGCAACGGTCCTGGGAGCCAGTTGCACTTGCACTGTGACACCACGTGGCTGCATGTGTGATACTCCTGCATTAACTGCACCCGCCGTGCCCATCAGCCCCCGAGGAAGTTGTGTGAGCAGACATGCTCTAGTCCCCGTTCCTGCTGGGAAACAAAGCCTCTTGGTCTCTACATAGACTCTTTTATTTCAGAGTTTCTGTCAAAAATTGGAACAGATGCCACTGCAAACACATGAATAATGTTTCCCACAAGCACAGAAAGATCACCAGGATGCGCTCAGGGGATGTTCCAGCCAGGGGGTGCGAGGAGCGAAGTCACGGGTCCAAATGCAGCAGCGACATCTTGTTTCCAGGCCTCCCGCTGCAGGAAGCAGGCCCCGCCACCATCCAGTTCTGCAATCCTGCCCACCCCTCGAGCTCCAAGCTGCCTGTCCCCCAGGGCCCCAGAAGAGGGAGGAGACTTGGCTCATTTCACAGTCATAGGGGCGAGGGAGCCACAGTGCCCTACCCTGGCAGGGGTAGGGTTTCTCCTTAGACAGGGAAGACCAGGGGAGGCAGAGAGCAACCACTCATAGCAGGAAGGCACAAATCATTTCCGGGCCACAGACTGGGAGATAAAGGCAAAGGAAACCAGCCAGGGCTTGGGAGGGGTGGGTGGAAAAAGAGACCAGATTGGGCACTGGTGGGGAGGAGGGGATCTTTCCCCCAATTCACCCTAGGAAATCCTATGAATGACTGGAGACCCAGTGGGGTTAGAATATTGGGAAAGTCAAAAGGGCAGCCACCTACTGAACAGGGGATGGATTTTTAGCTCAACTGTTTAACAGGCCAGAGGAGACAATGCTGAGCATCCAGCCTGACCTCTGCCTGCCCTGGGTAACCCTGGCTAGAGGATCCCACCCAGTGATTCTGCAAGCCAAGTGTGGTTGCTTGGTGAGAGACACCCTGTCTCAGTTCAAAGGCCCCACACAGCAGGGAGATTTCCAGAGACACCAGGAGCCCAGCCCCCTCGACCGTCAATGAGGATCAGGGCTCCCCCTTTGTAAGTTCTTCAGCGCTTAGGTGCTGGATTGCCAGAAGCACTGAGTCACCCCGCTCTGAAGTCCATTGTTTGGGGGAGTTCAGCCCCTCTGGGAATCCCATGCCCACCTTGGACAGCAAAGCCCTCAGTGTGAGAAGGGCAGTGAGAGAACTGCCCGCCACAGCTGTCTGCATCCTCAGGCAGGGAATCCCTGGTACTGCTGCTGTTTGCAAGCAAAAATAACCTCACTCCAAAGACAGAGCCCCAGCCCTGGGAACCTGATCCCATCCCCATCCTGTCCAGCTTCCCTGCGAGGGTGTGGCTGTCTGCAAAGCAGGGGGCACAGGGGTGGGGGCCTCACTGAAGTACGGATACACCAGGGACCCTGCCACAGGATCTGCTATTGTAGAGCAGCTGTAGGAAAGGGGTGGGGGAAGATGTACCACCCCACACTAGGGCAGCTCCGGGAGATGGGAGCAGCAAGGAGAGAAGGTTCATGGATCAGAGAGACGGGAGGGAGTAAAGCAAGTCAAACATGCCCCCACTTGTGCATCAGCCCAAATGCCCCTCCCCCACCATGCCTGTGTCCTGGCAACCTAAATACCCTTCCCCCACAGCCTGGCAACCCTAATGCTGCTCCTCCGCTGTGCGGAAGGTCACAGGGAGGTTTTCCCCAGCTTGGCTTCATGGCTGATGCATTCCAGCAACTCCAGTATTCCCCAGTGAATGGGGGAGTCAGCAACGGCTCCCAGGGTGGGAGGGTTGGTTCAAACTGTCACATTAGCACAGCTACCAATCAAAAATGCAGCATCCCCACCCAGGACCCAGAGTTCCACTCCCTGCTCCGATCCGTCTGGAGCCCAGAGCCTGCCCCCCCGTGCAGAGCCCCTTGTCCCATCCCATGTCCTTCCATCAGTTCCATGGATTAAATAGCCGGGCAGTGCCCTTCCAGCAGCCCCTCCAGTAGTGAGCCCCCCAGACCCTATTGCTTCTTCTTGAAGAAGCTGAATCTCTTTTCTCGGTCCTTCTCCTTGCCGTCCTTGCTGCGCAGGGCCACGGAGACCTCAGCAGCGCTGTTGGGGGACACGGGTGGCATGCTCATGGCCCGCGTCATGCCCTTGCCAGTGAGTGAGGGCGGGTCCTCCGTGTCCTGCTGGGGTGTCGGGGTGCAGGCCACCGAGGCATTGATCACCCGCATCCAGGTGCTCATCTCAGCCTGGGGGAAAGAGAAGGAGCTGTCAGCCGCGGGTTGGGGCAGGGAACTGGAGCACAAAGAGGGCAGGGCACTGGCTCTGGGAGAGGCGGGGCACCAGGAGGGGTTGGCAAGGCAGAGGGGTGGGACTTTGGGGCACAGACAGGGTGGATCCGGGAGTCTGGGAGGGGACAGAGTTGGGCAGAGCTCTGGGGTAGGGCCCAGGATTCAGAGCTGATGAGGCAAAGGGACTGGGAGAGGGTGGAGCACAGGAAGCATGCAACTCAGGATGGTAGGGGGCAGGGCAGAATGGGCAGGGATATCTTGGGGAGGGCTCTAGGGCTGGAATGGGGCAAGGCGGAAGGTCCAGAACACTGGCGAGCATGGCTGAAGGACTGGGAGAGTCCTGTAATCTGTAACCCAGGTGTTTGGCTACTGGCCCCAGGTGCATGGAGGAGGGGCTGTGGAGTTAGCCCTCTCTGCCCCCTCCAGACCTTCTCCACTAGAGAGGGAGACATTACAGCATGGCAGACTTGGATCCCCCAGCGGGGGGCGGCATGAGCATGTAACACCGACAGATCCGAGTCGTCAGTGTGCGGGATCCAACCTGGGACCTTTGGAGCTTAGTGCATGAGCCTCTACTGCATGAGTTAAAAGCCACACGGTCGTTAGCTAAGGCTGTAGCAGACTCATTAATCTCTAAGTGGTCTCGGTGCCAGCACCACACCCAGGAGGTGTGTGGGTTACACGCGCGCATAAACCTAGGAGCACTAGGAGGAGCTCAGAGGCTAGGGGTGCCCTCATGTGGACAGGACAAGCAACGCCCTGGTGCGTAAGGGACTCACCTCGTCCTTGGCCTGGAATAAATACTCTTTGCCGTCACTCAACCTGCAGAGAGGAAAAAACACATGTTATGTCACCTCCCTATGGCTGAGCCAAACCCTGCCTTGTGCCCTGTTCCCTTCAGCCTATCCCCTCCACCAGGTCCCTGACACAGTCCCCTCCACTGCGTTCCCTCCTCCCCTGCACCTGTGGGCTGCAGTCCCTCCACTGCCCACTCTGTGTGTCTGCCACAGAGGCCGCTCCTACCCCAGCTTGAAGACATGCTTGCGTTTCTTGTAGTCCAGTGCCACGTTGCACTGCGCCCCCTGCAGGCTGATGGGCACCTCGCCATGGTAGGGGACGCCATGGCTGGCGTTCTTGGCGTCTTTGTAGAAGCCTAGGCTGCCTTTGTGCAGGACACAGTACACGTTCTGCCAGGACCTTGGGAGGAAGCACAGAGCTGTCAGAACAGCCATGGGGAGAGGGAAGAGCTCAGAGCCATCAG